CCCTCTCCTAAAAAAAAAATACAAAAATAAATTAATGATATGAGTAGGTTAGGCCTCATTAAGAAGGTGCAAATGAATCAAAATTTAAAAAAATAAATGAACAGAGTAAGCCAGACAGATAACTAGAGGAGAGCAATTACATCCAAATGCAACAGGTAGTGCACAGATCCTAAAGTCAGCTTACCTGATAAACTCAAGGAACTGGAAGATCAGTAAGAATAAAGGAAAAGAAGGTATAAAATGGGGTCAAAGAGGTAAGAGAGCTAGACTGGTCAGGCTGGCTAAGATAAGCATACTCAATTTTAATGTAAGTAAAACATGGACTCCCTAATGAGCTCTAGAAGGAAACACAAGATTAGCTAATATATATTATTAATATTAGCCAGAATTATTCAGGCTTTAAGCACTCACAAGGCTGACACTGGAGGATAGTGAGCATAGGGCCAGGAGTGAAGTAAAAAGGGGACCAGTTCAGAGCTCAAGTAATCTAGGCAAGGGATAATAATGACTTAGATCAGGATGATAACACTAGGGTGGCAAGAAGCAGAAAGGAAAGTCAATAGGATTCCTGATGGAAGTGAAGTGGGTGTATGAACAAAGAGAAGTCAACAATGATTTCAAGGTATCAGCCTGGAAGAAATGGGCTTTTTCACCAACTAACCTGGGAAAGGGTCATAAAACTAAAGTAAGCTAAGAATCAAGTTAAGTTGTATACACATTAGATTTACAAATAAAGTGTGGCTAAGTTTAACAACGGCTTCAAATGAAATCACATTAATAGCATATACCCAGAAGTGCTGCTCTTTACTGAAGTAGGCCATCCTGATCAGCAAACTACTGAAACAGGACATCATCCTAATCAACCCATAAATACATATGAACCACTCTTAACCTCACCCCCCTCTAATAAACATATATCTCACACCCAGACATCTTATTTTTTTTTTTTTTCCGGAACCGGGGATTGAATTCAGGCCCTTGCTCCCCAGCCCCAAAACTGACCTTTTTCTATGTTCAGTTCTCCTGAATTTTACTTTATTTATTTATTTTGTATTTTTAGGGAAGGGTCTACAGGATGTTCAGGGTCTCACTACTAGACCAGACTCGTAATGATCTGCCTGCTTACAGCTTTCTAAGAGCTGGGATTACAGGTGCACGCCACCATGCCTAGTCTCAACTCCTATCTCAGTGCGCCCCAGGGGGTGGGGCCGGCATGGCAGACCAGGTATCAACCGCCCCCACCCCCCACCCCAACCCCCTGCTCCTGCTTGTAGGTGCTTTAATCCACTGAGCAGGTGCTTTAATCCACTGAGCAGACTTTAAAACAAATTTTCAGAAACAATTCCTTTACTTTCTGCCTCAATATCTCCTACGGTGTCAAACCAAAACAAAAAGGCAAGCAAACCAATCGCCCAACTTTCCCCAACACCATTAGCCAAAAGAAAATCTCCTGAGCACATCATCCCATGCAAATGAAGGTCCATATGAGTCATGACCTACCACAATCTAAGTAAACACCTGAATAAAAGAATTATAAGTGGGAGTTTTGATGAAACAGTCTCTCAGAATCATTCCTAGTGATTCAGATTCATTAGGCTAAGAAGCAGCACCTTACTTTCCATATTTTCAACAGGAATCTCAAGTTACACAATAGGAACTGAGAAGCCCAGCATCATCTATAATGGAAGAAATCTGCTTGCATACACAGGCAGGTAGGTAAGTAGGCAGGCAGGCAGACAAATAAGTAGACAGAGAACATTCCCAAAGGTAAATTTCTAGAGAGTTAGCCAGGGTAAGGCTTTTTAAAAAAACACTCTTCCCTTGTGATGCTAATCTCAATAGTAATCAGCAAGAATAAAGACCCACCACATCCATCAAAACAACTGTAAATCCAGGCATACTGTGACTACAGAATTTATACGCCAAAGCCAAGATTGCAGCCAGAAAAGAAAAAAAAATTGCTCACAGCTCTCCAGCCACTCCCATTCTATTCCTTATGGGCTATGTATAAGGAAGGTAGAGAGGACATAATCACATGGGCATCCAAATTATTTTACTAGAGAAATACTTACATTACTGTTTTTCCCACACTCTAAAGACATCAAAAGTTTTCATACTGGATTTTAAAGCCACCCAGGAGGTGAACACATGATTTCTGACACTTCTCACATCAGAATCTCACATATTGCGTCTACCCAAGTCTACTTTTTTCATCTCTCATATCTAGACTTTCATTTCATAGTTTTTAATCACTCTTTAAGGTTTACCTCCTCCTCTAAATTCTCTAATTAAGCAGTGCCTGATCTAGATGTATTGCTCACCCCCACAGAGCCTGCAAGATTTCCTACAATGCTACCATAAGTATCTGAGCATTCTTGTACTGGCTTGTAAGCACAGGATCAGACGTGGAGTTGGTCGATTTTCTCAGTTCTTCCCTTTAAATTACAAAACTATCAAAACCCAAATTCCAAACCATTACTTTAAAATGTGTCCTTGGAGCACAAAGACCTAACCAATATACACCCTACAAATTCCAATGTACTGTGAAGATGTTCCTCAGTTACCTCATGTGCCCCTGCTTAGAAGAATAGTGTAAATAGGTCTGGGCACCTATTCAGCTTTAGTCATTATTTACCTAATAATACATACTCAATTCCAAAGAATGGCAAATGGTCAATGAGTTAACTAGACACACACATACAAGGGCAGAAAGATGTGAATAAGCAGAGAGAAAAAGATGTTTTTAATATTTCTATAGTACCCTCTCTTCCTTGGAACACAAAAACCAGAATAACTAGATCTCAAGTTATATAGCCTACTAGATACGATGGTAGGCAGATCTCAACATATCATGAAAACAAAATGAACGAAACAAAACTTGCCTTGAAAGCACCAGCCATATTCTGAGATCATGGTTAAATGTGAAAAACTGGAAACCTCCTCCCGAGCCAACTGTTGCTATGCTCAGAGAAAAGTACAAAGGTGATACTGGATATTTTTCTATTACTTTCAGTATAACAAAACAACATACATGGAAATCAAAAGGGGAAATCCAGCTAAAAATGTCACTACCAAAAGACCAAACCATTTCTAATTTCATAGAGCACCAAGCTCTAAATTATAGACATATCACAGGCAAAGATTGGAGCCCCAAAAGACTCAAGAAAAAAGCCTATTTAAAAACGTATACTAACTACCTTCCAAAAGTGCATTTAAATTACAGTTTCATGGAGAAATATCTTAATAAAGAATTGTTCCTTCCAAAACAATGTATAAAAATACATACATCAGCTCTGTGGGTCCTGCATCATCTTCTTTGGTTGGAAAGCACAGTATATCTATCCACTCCAGCTTTCTTCGGTCTTACCTTGTAGGCACAGGACCAGACATAGAGTTGGTCCTTTTTTCTTCAGAACATTCAGACTACTGGATACAAACTCATTACTCAAGCTATTAATATTAATGTCCCTAATAAAAGGGAATCTTTTCCAATGTCTTTGTCCTTATGAGTAAACTAATATAAGATGCCTGCAACATCTGAAGAAAACAGTATTTTGGTCTACCTTTGTGCTTTTTTACCTAACACAAGAAAAAGGCTAGGAACACAGACCCTCTCTCTAGAAATAAAGAAAATACAGCATACTGATAAGCCAGGGGATAAAAGACACCTACATCCTGAAGTGTGTTCAAGTCAGCTCAGAAATTCACCCAAACGTGGGTCTCACTGCCTAAACCAACATATACATCTGGAAATAATAAATACTGATAAGTCAAACAAAAAAGGCTCTCAATTCAAAGATTCTACAAAGTACTGAAGACCGGCGAGATAGTTTGGTGAATAGTTTAGTGGTCAAAAGCGCCTGCTTAGGCAAGCTTAGGTAAATGCAAGGGACTGCAGTTCCATCCCCAGCACCACATGCTAGCCCGGCCCCCAGGGTGGGCTGAGCTGGCCACACACACACACACACAAAGCGTTAACCCTAAAAAAATTGGAATTTACATTAAACAAAGAATATATATAAAATAGATTTTCATATGGTATTTAAATGTAACTTACTAAGAAATATGAGGTGGTATTCTACTACCTAGTCTTCAAAACATTAAAAGCTTTGATTTGACCACGTTACAAATTTGTTTTCAGTAGAGAAGAAAAACACACTGCCTCTGTTTAACGCAAAGGACCAAAAAGATCATCACTGCAAATCATGATGTTTGGGTTCATGATGAAAACAGGAAACAGGCTGCCCAGGTGTAATTATGGTTGTAGTATAATGTGCCTTCAGGTTCGGCCAAAGATTAAAACCAAGTGAAGGGGGTAAGCAGCATTTAGTTGCCTCTCTACCTTGCTACAGAAAGCAACTTTTAATAATACGCTCAGCAACACATTACATAACCGACAGTGAACAACAATCTGATTCAAACCGCATTAGTAACAACATTCTGCCACAGTCTCCCACTGAAATTAATAGCTGACTTTGCCTGAGGGAAAAGAAATGGAACACATATCAATCTACCCATTTCTCTGGCGCCTACCACAGTGAACCAGACAAGCAGATAATACTACTAGATCTGTTCAGAAGTTAGAAAAATATTTTATTCTTCTTTTAATTTACTGCTCTCTACCTCCTTTTAACTAACCATCCTAGGGATGCATTTAAAAATCAAGAAGAAAAATCAGAAAACATTCATCTAACTTTTCCTATGTATTTTGGCTATGATCTGCAAACAGTACAAAAAGATGCACCAGGAAGCTTATGTGGTAACAGCAGTTACATGGAAAGAGCTAAGGAGATAGCAATGTAGAGGGAAAGAAAGTAGGATGGTACTACAGTGATCACGCAATCACAAAAATTAAATTTTAAAAATCTGTAACATGTATTATCTTTACGAAGGTTAAATTTTGTTAAATTTTCTCCTGAGTTGCTCTGTATTCAACTAGAGAAAAAAATAACAAAAAAGGTAAAAGAATTTAAGAGATCTGCAAACAAATCTTTACTTACAGAATCTGGAACATGCAAATTTCATGATACTCAGATCAGTAAATGTGAAACTGTCATATTCAGAGTACTGTTTCCCCTCATCGCACACTACCACAGTGGCACCTAAAAGAAAGATATTGGAAATGTTACTAAAATCTACTGGGACTAAAATGTTCAGCCTTTCAGCTTTCAATTTAAAACTTAAAGTTAACTGACTCCGCAGTAACTTAGGTATTCTAAGGTAATTCAAGCACTGTATTCTAAAAGAAAAAAAAAATTACTTGTGCCTTTTCTTTTTCTTTTTTCTTTTTGCCTTCTTTTCTTGACTTCAGGGAGACCAAGCCACAACCACTGTTGCTAGATAGAACATTTTTGGTAGTGCTAACCAACAGCACTAATTTGTCAGCATAATATGACAAATTCAACTACACTTTAAAACTTTTTTCCACAGAAAGATAAACAAGATATACTTAGCACCACACCCACTTAAACGCTAGAACATCCAGGAATGTTTCCCCTATTTGACCCACTCCCCCAACCTCCAGCAGGTCAAGAAACATCGTCTTTATAATCAAGATACAGATCTGGCTTAGGGTGTTTCGATTCCCCACCTCCGGGCTGGTCTAGATTCTACTCTGCAATACCGGTATCAAAATCAGAGTTAAAGCTTTTGCTTAGAAAGGTGAGAAAATCTCCAAATGCCACGACTACCTTCGCCCCAATTCTTTTTGCAACCAAAATGTTTTGGCTACTAAGCATGCTCCGATTTTAGACAGGCGCCATATGAGAGTTTTCAAAGCCTAGGTTCCAAACTCCACGTAGTAACAGCAGCTGAAAAGGGAGGCGGGGAAATGGGGTGGTCGAGGACAAAAAGCCTGGAATATGAATTTGAGTACTGGTATGGAAAAAGCTGAACAGTATCGGAACACGAAGGGGCCGAGGGCGGACGGCGGACGGCGGGGGGAGAGACTGCTTGGACATTCTCCTTTGCAACTCAGTCAAAAGTACATGAAGCAGAAGAAATCCTTGTAAAACTGCAAACTGACATCGCAAGTGGAAACCCGACCTTAGTACCAGCTGAGTGCAGCAGCGGGTCACCACTGCCCGGTGTCATTCCCACTGATAAGCATGAGTTCTTATCTTTGAAACACAAAGCGACAGCCGCACGGATTCATTGGTCAGCTGTGCGCTGCAGCAGACCGAGCTACTTGGCCCAGCCAAGCGATCCTATCAGGGGTGTGTAGCGAGGGTGGTGCTTAGATGCGGCAGGAGAAAAACTGCTCCACTGGACCGGAGCTGGGCGGAAGGAGCCCCTCGAGGACGTCCCGAACGCCTCCCTCCAGGAGCTGGGACGCGGCCAGCAGCGGCCCGCCTCAGGCGAGGCCTCGGCCGCCGGCCGGGCACTCCTTCCCTGCCCGCTGGGACCCGGCCGGCCAGGGCTGGGCCTACCTCCCGCCCGCAGGCCCCGGGCCGCTTCCGCCCCGCCCGCGGCCGAACGCCCCCGCCTCGGCCTGAGGGCAGCCGCTGGGGTCGGAGGGCGACCCGCGTCCGGGCCAAACCTATAGGCCGCGGCACCGCTTGCCCGCCCCGGGGCCCTTCACTCACTCGCGGGCCGGCTGGGCGCGCTCTCCCGGCGCAGTCGCTGCGCTTCCCAGCTCCGCAACTTTATTAGCAGCTGGGCCGCTGGACACGCGCACGGCTCCCGCTCGCCCAAGACCCGGATGACGGAGGGAGGGGAGGGAGCCTCGGAGGACGCCCGGTGGGGTTGGCGCATGCGCGTCACAGCCGAGTGACCGCTGCGAGCCGAGCGAAGGGCCGCCCTGCGCTGGCAGCCGGAGAAAGTCTCCGCGCTTGGCCACGCGCCCGCAAACCCCCACTTCCGATCAGCTGGAGGCTTCCGGTCCGCGGCCAGGCCTGAGAGCGGCGGGACCTGGCTTTAGAAACCGGGAGCGCCCCGCACCAAATGAACCCGTGTTGTAATAAAAGAAAGTAGTTGTCCTTGATATGGACAATTGGAGATTTTTCTGTCATAAAATCTAAATAAAAACGTCAGATATAGTTCTGCTCCTTTATTTTGTAATATAAATCTGAATGAAGAGTGCCCTCCTTCTGTGCAAAAGTAGTTGCAAAATGAGGCTCCGAACTCAGTACAGTTGCTTAGTGAACGCAGTCTTGGAGCCTAGTACAGCTGCCCGAGTGCCACTGACCGGGTCTGTCAAGACACTGCCACACCCTGGGGGAAGGGCGACCCCCGGGTCAGGCTCGGCCGGAGGGGCCGCCAGGCCCGGAGCGGCCGCCCGGGGGCAATGTCTTTCACCCCTTCGCTTGACTCTTCTGCAGTAACTGAGGTTCATTGTTCTCCATGCCTTTCCCTCCAAATTCTCAAAAGTGTCAGCATTCCCAGAATATCATTTAGTACAACCTAGTGCGTTCAACTTGGAAAGTACAAGTGAGGAAATCTTTCAAATTCTTGTATTTTAATTTTAAAAGACCATACTGGTTTTTTTTTTATATCTTATTTGAATAACTAAAAATCAAAATTGGAACCATGTTTTAATCCTTTCATTCATACAGCAGTCCAGTCTATGAATCTGACTAAGTCAACCTTCAAACTACTATTTGGATAATTTCTCATCGTCTTTATTGCCCATCTCCTCGAGGCAGTGTCGTCTCAAATGACACACACGGGATGGTTGCTGTTTTGTGCCGAGCTCCAGCAGCTTGTTTCCTCTGGGGAAGAAACTAAGAAATTTTGCAGAAGTCTTGCAGTGAAAAGGCCGTCTCAAAGGTGACCGAGGTCCAGGAAAGGGGGTGAAAGAAACGGGCAAGCATGTATACTGAGGGGTACTGGTCCCATCAAAAAGGAGCTGCTGTTCTATTTAATTGTCACAAAGAGGAAATATGGGAATAAGTGTTGGCAGATTTTCTAATTTTTTTTCAAAGGAAGCTGGAAATCTCTGTTTCTGTGCAAAAAAAGAAAAAAGAAAAAAACGTCATCTGTTTAGCAACCTTTCTCTTTCTTCGTCTTCTCCCTTCCCTGACCCTCCATTCCCCCTTCCTGCTCCTCCTCACCCTCTTCCTCTCATAGACGTTCACAAGGCCAACATTGTACAAGCCAAGCAAAACAAACTCATGGTCCCAATTTAGCTCGCTGGCCAGCAGTTTGCAATCTCAGGTCTACATCTTAAACTTCTTTACAACACCATGAACTCTGTGAAAGTAAAGTCTGTGTTCTTTAACTCTTATGTCACACTCACAGATTATTTGTTGTTAATTCAGAACTTTCCAACCCTTGGAAGGCACATACTTCTGGAGCCTGCATGGGTTTATGGTTCCCAGAGGTGCCCCTAACCCTACTTTGGAGGATGCTCTTTTTTCAGAACTGATGTTTGCAGAGGGCTTTGTCAGACACTATAGAATGTAACAATTTGTTTTAGATATTTTGCATTTCAGAGCCACTCCTTACTTCAAAAAGCTCCTAAAATCCTTCCTCAAACAAATTGTTTGCATATATGTAAGAATAATTTGTGATTAGAGGGTTTTACTTTTTTTTTTTTAATCACTTGTAATCCTAAAGCCAACAATTTTGCTTCCTGGACTATGTGTCTGCATACTGATCAAATCAGAGACTCCAGCTTCTCCAACTTACTATGCAGACTCACTTTAAGTTTTTAGTTGGAAGAGATAATAAAGTAGAAAGGAGGTTACGGAAACTAGCAACCAACAGAGGTCTTCAAAACAACTGAGAAATTACTCAGACCTCAAAGAGCACAAGTAGTCAGAAGCTCACAATTACATACGGTAGTAGCCAAGAAGATTAGCCAATAGCACATGACCAGGCGTCCAAGAGCCATAGGAATGGAAGGAGGAAGTCTCTGGTTTTGCCAGGGAAGTGAATCTGAAAACAAATGCACAATAGCATGATCTGACCAGATGGATATAATCAGTGGGGAATCAAAATAGACAAAGTGCTTTTCCAGTTTCATCTCTCAGCTTATTGAGATCAGATTATAGCAGCTTCCCATACTCAAATTTTACTTTATTTATAAAGAAACCTATGGCTGGATAATTTGGGCCAATAACTTTACCAGGGATAACTATGGCCCTAGGATCATTTGGCAGCTTGAAGAACTTCTTGGCTATCACAAATAGAAGAGCTGTGTTACTGGCACCTGGTGGGTAGTAGAAGGACAGCCTCCTTCTACCAAGAATTATCTAACCCAAAATGTCTGTAGTGCTGTGCCAACCAGTAACTATGTGTAAGTGTTTTCAACTGTATTCAAAAGGACTTTTTCTGGTAAAATTCTGGTTTTCCTGTGTGAAATCCTTCCCTAATAATCCACAAACATATCCCCTTTATTTTACAACTCAAAAGTTGAAATTGTCACACAGTGAAAAAGAAAAGACAAATTTAAAACAGGCAACACATCCTTGGGAGCATAGGAAGCCAGCAACCAGACTCCTGAAGCTCCAGGTTTGATACCAGAGAATCCAAGAGGTTTCTTGCAGTTATTGTGTAGGTTTTTCCATCTATATACAGTTTTTTCAAAGAAGTCCATAGCTTTCATCAAGATGCTAAAAAGACTTCCTGATTTCCATGTCTGCAGATACTTAAGACCAAGATTGCTTTACACATGCTGCACCTTTAATATGCTCATTTTCAGTTATCTTCTCTTTTCTTTTCAGAGCAACATAATGAGGAGATTTCTCTCTAGGGAAGGCAGCTTGATGTAGAGTGGAGGAGCCTGGCTCGCCTGTCTCCTGCCATCTGCTACATTAAAGAAGGCCTCGTATGGCTGGAATCCAAAACACAAAATTAAAAGGATTGCTTGCACCCAGAGTCATAAAACAAAGAAGCTTTCTAAAGCAGAGCTTGGAGCAAACACTCATTTTTTCTTGACTTAAACAGCATCTGTTACTCCTGATAGCAAACACCCTGCAAGTTAATGCCACTGACCTCCGTGGTACAACGTTCTCAACTTTCATCCTCAGAGATAAGGTCTCAGAGGAGACAAACCACATGTGCACACCACCACACAGCCAGGAGAGCAGGTGGAAACCGGGGAGTGTATGAAATTGGGACGAGGGGAAAGAGAAAATAATTTCACATTCTCTAGGAAGCCCATTACATGCATGAAGTCTGAATCATAAGAACCTTGAGGCCAGACTTCACAATTTTGCTTATTCATTTAGTTAGTTAGTACAGGGTCTCACTACACAGATGGGACTGGTAGTGATCCTCCTGTTTTCAGCCTCCCAAACACTAGGATTATGGGTACATGCCACCATGATTTAGTGGCTGGCTCAGCACACCCAGGGGCAGGGCCGGTGCAGCATGTGGTGCTGGGGATCGAACCTTGGTCCCTGCGCATGCCTAAGCAGGCACTTAGTCCACTGAGCTATCTCATTGGCCCTCAGACTTAATTTAGACAAAGACTTTCTGACTTACTATCTGTGTGACCTTGAAGAAGTGTCTTAACCAATTTGTGCCTCAGTTTCCTCACCTGTAAATTGGAGGTAGCAGCAGTATCTCACTAATGGAATTACTATGGTACATAAAATTTCTGTTCATTTTATAAGATGATCTATCTTCTTCCTTTCTAATTCTAGTAGGTAATCTCATTCCTTTCCAGGCCTCTGGTACCAACTATGTATCCCCAAATATAAGCCCTAACCAAAAAAATAAGTGCTCACTACTACCTGATAATGGTCAGTGTCATGCATAAGGTTCTACCTCACTGTTCTCTTGGTAGTTGGCCATTCTGTAATGGAAGATAAGGTAAGGTGACTTGGGCTGGCATTTCTGATCTCTAGTTTTCAAGGCTGATAATTTTCCAGTTAGGTCTTATTTTCAGGGAAACACAGCATCTGCTATAGACAATTCTTAAATTTGTGTTTCTGTTTGAACTTAAACCAATGAACTCCAGATCCTTAAATTCAACTAAGGTGTTGGCTAACATTCTGCTGCTGAAATGTATATCTGGGATAATCAGGGTGGTTTTTTTTTTGGTTTTTTTTGTGTGTTTTTTTTTTCAGAACTGGGGATTGAACTCAGATCCTTGTGTTTGCCAGTCAAGCGCTTATCCTACTGAGCCATCTCCCTGGCCCTGACAATCAGTATTTTTAAAGGAGAGGCTCGTGGTTTCTAAGGTTGCACTTAATGATCAGTTGGTTTCATTGCTTTGGGTCTGTGGTGACACAGCACATCATGTTGGGACAGACTGTGTGTTGGAGGTTCTCACCTCGCATCAGCCAAGGAGCAAAAAACAAAATGAAGAGGAAACAGTGCAGAGTAGTACAAGTGTATAATCTAGGAGACTGAGGTAGAAGGATCACAAGTTCAAGCCCAGCCTGTTAAGGGCCTGGATTCAATCCCCAGTACTGAAAAAATAAAATGAGGAGGGACTGAGGTCCCTTTGTCCCTCACTGGCATATTCCTATGACCTAACTTCCCTCCCTCCATTACCAACACCTACTGATGCTCCCACCACCTCCCAGTAGCACCACAGCCTGCTGATGAGCCCTTAATGCTAGGCCTTCAGGGGACATGCAAATCCTATTATAGCAACTGCTCTCTTAATCTCCTTACTGGATCATAGTAACAGATAGTGTCCATCCTTATTTTTTCCAATCCTCTTCTCCTAAGTCCTTTGTAGTGTTGTTCTCCTTGTATGTGACCCAGGAGGGCTTCCATAGCTCCACATCTAGCCA